TCCCTTTTTACAGGGCCGCGGTAACTTTGAATGGTCAATAAGTGGACCGTCGTGAGTTGAGGACTGCCTATACCGCTGTACGGAGTCTGTACTACAAGTCCCATCCTCCCCTACCAGCAAGGCAGGAGAGGCGGGGATCCCGAGGCCCCCCAAATCTCGGAGAGGGCAAGACCAACATCATGTTTCTTCCTGATTCCCACCCCCCCCCCCTTAGAAAATTTAGCCCCTGATGTTCTGTGTGCGGAGATGCCATTATGGCCGTACTACAAGACCCATCCTCCCCAGCCAGCAAAGGCAGAAGAGGCGGGGATCCCGAGGCCCCCAAAATCTGGGGAAAAGGGGCAGGGCCAACATCATCCTGATTCCTGCTCCCCCCCCCGGGAAATTTACTCCCCCAACGTTTTTTGCGTGTGCTGTACTACAAGTCCCATCCCCCCCAGCCAGCAAAGGCGGGACAGGCGGGGATCCCGAGGCCCCAAAAATCTGGGGAGAAAGGGCAGGGCCAACTTTTCATGTCTCTTCCTGATTCCCGCCCCCCCCCCCTTAGGAAATTTGCCCCCCGCTGTTCCGTGTGCGCGGAGGCCATCATGCCCGAACCGGGCCAGGAGGAGACAGTGCGAATTGTGGCCCTGGACCGCAGCTTCCATATCGGATGCTACAAGTGCGAGGTGAGCAACGGCGGAGGGGGACGGGGAAAGGGGGCTGCCCTCGGTTCCAGGGAGGGGCGCCCGCCAGCAGGGGCAGAGGGGAGGGCACGGGGGGAGCTAGACGGGTGGGGGTTGCAGTGCTGGAGGCGGTGGAGAAAAGATTGGTTGAGGGTCTGCTGCTGAAGCAGAGGGTTGGACTAGATGACCTCTGAGGTTGTTTGAAGCCTAGGATTCTATGATTAATCTATCCTATCTATCTATCTATCTATCTATCTATCTATCTATCTATCTATCTATCTATCACCTATCTATCTATCTTATCTCTATTACGTATCTATTTATCTATTTTATCTCTATCACCTATCTATCTATCTCTATCACCTATCTATCTACCTACCTACCTACCTACCTATCTATCTATCTATCTATCTATCTATCTATCTATCTATCTATCTATCTTATCTCTATCACCTATCTGTCTGTCTGTCTGTCTATCTATTTCTATCACCTATCTATCTATCCATCTTATCTCTTTATCATCTACCTACCTGCATACCTATCTATATTATCTCTTTATCATGTATGATATCTATCTCTTATCTCTTTAGCATCTATCTATATACCTACCTACCTACCCACCTATCTCTATTATCTCTTTATCATGTATGCTACCTACCTACCTACCTATCTACCTATCTATCTATCTATCTATCTTTTATCTATCAATCATCTATCTATATCAGTGGTGGTGAACCTGTGGCACGGGTGCCAGAGGCGGCACTCAGAGCCCTCTCTCTGGGCACGCGCACCGTCGCCCCAGTCCTAGGCCTTCAGCTGGGTTTTATGAAACCTTTTCGCTTTAGGCCTCTGCCGCCGTGTACAAAAAAAAAAAAAAAGTTCAATCAGTCAATTTCAACTTCTCGCGGGGGGAAAAAAAGATCTTGCAAAGTTGGAATTGATTGATTGAACTTTTTAGTCCCACCCAGTCTGCCGTTATCACCGCAGCCACGCCCACCCAATGGGCCACACCCACCAATGGGCCACACCCACCCGGCACCCGCCGATGCATGTGGGTTTTGGGTTGCGGTTTGGGCACTCGGTCTCTAAAAGGTTCGCCATCACTGATCTATAGCTATTATCTCTTTATCATGTATCTTATCTATCTATCTATCTATCTATCTATCTATCTATCTATCTATATCTATCTATATCTATATCTCCCTATCTATCTATCTATCTGTCATGGTTCCGACTAATGAAACACTTCAAAGAACTTCCAGGCATGTTTATCCTAAAGCCTTTATTACCAGTGTTACAAATTGACGGCACATCATGGAGGTTTATGCCAGAATCTGAATTCCTCTTGCTGGCATCTCACTTTTCTTGCTAAACCCCTCCCTTATCTTCCAGTCACAAGTCACATCTTCCAATTAGCCCAGAGGGCAGAGATTCACTTCGGTTCCTTTTCCTGGGCTTATGTTATTTCCCCTCCCTTTCCTCTGTCATCTGAATTAACTCTTAAAATACCAGACAGTTCTGCATATTTTGTCAAAGCAAGAAGATTCAGTATTAGCAGCGTTGACACTATCTATCTGTCTATCATCTTATCTATCTATCTATCATCTTATCTATCTATCATCTATCTGTCTATCATCTATCTATCTATCATCTATCTGTCTATCATCTATCTATCATCTGTCTTCTATCATGTAGCTATCTATCTATCTATCATCTATCTATCTATATTCTATCTCTATCATCTATTTATCTATATCTATCTCTATCATCTATATTCTATCTTCCATCTATTATCTATCTATCCATCTCTATCATCTATCTATCTATCATTTTTCTATCATCTATATATCTATCAATCTATCATCTATCTATCTGTCATCTATCTATCTATCATCTATCTATCATCTATCTCTATCATCTATATTCTATCATCTATCTTCCATCTATGTATCTATCTATCTATCCATCTCTATCATCTATCTATCTATCATGTATCTATCATCTATATCTATATCTATCAATCTATCATCTATCTATCTATCATCTATCTATCTATCGTCTATCTATCATCTATCATCTATCATCTATCTATCTATCATCTGTCTATCATCTATCTATCTATCATCTTATCTATCTATCTATCTATCTACCATCTATCTATCTATCTATCTATCTATCTATCTATCTATCTATCTATCTATCTATCTATCTCTTTAGATGTCTAAGAAAAGATTGGACAGCCCTTTGTCTGAAATGGCACAAACAGATCTGCCGGACAAGGGGCTGGACTAGAAGACCTCTGTGGTCCCATCCAGCCCAAGAATTCTGTGACTTTGAGAGGGCGGGACCCCTCGGGGGGGGGGAAGCACCCCTAATGGTTGCATCCGGTTTTCCTTTCCCTCTCTTCCTCCCCCCCCCCCCCCGCAGGAGTGTGATATCCTCCTCTCCTCCGAAGGGGAGGGGCGCGGCTGCTATCCGCTGGACGGCCATATCCTCTGCAAGAACTGCAGCGCCCGGCGGATTCAAGACCTCTCCTCCGATATCACCACCGACTGCTGATGGGGGTGGTGGTCCCCAGCCTCTTCCCCCCGGGTGGGTGGGGGGCTTCGCGGGCTGCTCGGCTTTGTGGCCCCCTTTCTGGGGTGCAAAGAGCTCGCTGCTCTTTTTTGCAGCGTTGGTCAATTCTGGGCACCTTGAAGATGGGCGGAGTTCAACTCCCAGAATTCCCCAGCCAGCCAAGCTGGCTGGGGAATTCTGGGAGTTGAACTCCGCCCATCTTCAAGGCGCCCAGAATTGACCGGCCCTGATCTGCGTGGCCTTTCTCTGTCATTTTAGCCCAGTGGTTCTCAACCTTTTGAATGCCGCGACCCCCAACCGGTCGTAAGTCGAGGACTACTCAACCGGTCGTAAGTCGAGGACTACTCAACGGGTGCAGCACCGTTTGCAGAAGGGGACTTTTGGCGGGCTCAGCAGGGCAGAGACAGCCTGGACAATTCCTATGGGCTTTGGAAAGCCAATAGAATTAGACTCTATTCAAGAGAGTCTCTTCTATTGGCTTTCAAAAGCCAATAGAATAAAAGGGAGGAGCACAGCGAAGGAAAAGGGGGGGGGGAAATGGCGGACTGTGTTGTTTGGCGACCCCCGTGAAATGGTCGTTCGACCCCAAATGGGGTCCCGACTCACAGGTGGAGAACCCCTGTTTTAGCAACTTCTCAAATTGGGAAGGGGGTTTAGAAAGGTATCTTAGCCCCTCGGCTCGGCAAGGACCCCCCCAACTGAGATTTCCGTCCATCCTCCACTTTGTGGCGGATTACGACGCCCATCATCCTGACCGGGCCGAGTTGGAACCTCCTCTTTGTCCCAAATGTATTTGAATGGAGTCCCGCACCCATAAGGCTTGAAAACTCCCCTACCCATAAGCTGGTCTTATCTGAATAAATTGGGGCTGGGGGCTATTTCCTCTCTATTCCCCCCCCCACACTCCTCCTACGAGCACAAATCTTCCCCTGTTGAACTTTTGCCTGTCTCCCCCTTTTACGAAGCAAAAGATTTTTTTTAAATGTTCTCTTTTTTTAAAAAAAAATAGACTTCGACTTTCTTCTTCTCCAGCCTGCCTTGTTTTTATTATTATTTTTAATCAATGATAATGTTGGGCCGCGGGTGTTTTTTGAAAATGGAATTAAAGAGGTGCCCCTTTGCATTCTCTGTTTGCTGTCTCATTTATATTATATTATATATATTTTATTATATTATATTTGGGGGGGGATTGAGTTTGGCTGGGTTTCTCTATGGCACTTTTAAGACGTCTGGGACTTCGACTCCCAGAATTCCACAGCCATCATGGCTGGCTGGGGAATTCTGGGAGTCGAAGTCCAAGCGTGACGGTGGAGAAATTCTGGGAGTTGAAGTCCAGGCATGACGGCTGAGGAATTCTGGGAATTGAAGTCCAGGCATGACGGCTGAGGAATTCTGGGAGTTGAAATCCAGGCGTGACAGCTGAGGAATTCTGGGAATCAAAGTCCAGGTGTGATGCCTGAGGAATTCTGGGAGTCGAAGTCCAGGCGTGATGGCTGAGGAATTCTGGGAGTCGAAGTCCAGGCATGACGGCTGAGGAATTCTGGGAGTTGAAGTCCAAGCGTGACAGCTGAGGAATTCTGGGAGTTGAAGTCCAAGCCTGACAACTGAGGAATTCTGGGAGTTGAAGTCCAGGCATGACAGCTGAGGAATTCTGGGAGTTGAAGTCCAAGTGTGACGGCTGAGGAATTCTGGGAATTGAAGTCCAAGCGTGACGGCTAAGGAATTCTGGGAGTTGAAATCCAGGCACGATGCCTGAGGAATTCTGGGAATCAAAGTCCAGGCGTGACGGCTGAGGAATTCTGGGAGTTGAAATCCAGGTACGATGCCTGAGGAATTCTGGGAATCAACGTCCAGGTGTGATGGTTGAGGACTTCTGGGAGTTGATCCAGGCATGCTACCTGGGGAATTTTGGAATTAAAGTCCACAAATGCTAGCTGGGAATTCTGGGACTTGAAATCCAGTCCTGCTGGCTGAGGAATTCTGGGAGTCGAAGTCTGTGAATCCTGGCTGAGGAATCCTGGGAGTTGAAGTCCAGAGATCTTAAAAGTTGCTAAGGCTGAGAAATCCTGGTTTTCTGATCTTGGCAGTGGTGCCCTTCCTCCTCCTCCTCCTCCTCCTCCTCCCCCCCCCCCCGAGTCGGCCTGGGGCGCACTCACGAGCCCTGCCCGCCCTGAGCGAGCCTTTGCAAGGCTTCTTGGCTGAACTCCATGCAGTGCCAGTCAAAGGACTGGGTGGTGTCCTCGGCTCCGAGCCGCAGGTACAAATTCTTCGCCCGCTGGTTCCCTTCCATGGTGCTAAATTTCATCCCGGTGCAGCCGGCGGCGAGCGCAATCTGCCAGGCGGGAAAAAAAAACAGGCTATAAGCGTCTAGATTCGTATCCGGCACCCCGCTTCCCACGGTGCATCCGTGCACTAAGGAAACTGGCTCCTCCCACCCTCTTCCCCGGCTGGTAGACTGCCACTGAAGCTACAGGCTTGGCCATCCTCATCTGACCCGACAGGACAGGTCGTCCTCGACTTACGACGAATCCCTCAGTGACCAGGTCATCCTCACTTACAGCCCCAGCGGAGCCCAACATTTCTGTCGCTAAGTGGGACGGTGGCGAAGCGAGTTTTTGCCCCGTTTTACGACCTTCCCTGCCACCGTTGTTAAGTGAATCACTTCAGTCGTTAAGTGAGTCACATGGTTGTGAAGTGAACCCGGCTTCCCCCCCCCCCGTTGACTCTGCTCGTCCGAAGTTCGCAAAAGGGGATCAGGTGACAGGGCGACCGTCATAAATGCGAGTCGGTGGCTGAGCGTCTGGATTTTGATCATGGGGAGGCTGCAACCGTCGTAAGTGTGGGGAAACGGTTACTTTTTTCAGTGGTGGTATAACTTTGAATGGTCACTAAATGAAGCATCGTAAGTCGAGGACTGCTTGTAGCTGCCTTTCCGGAGAAAGAGACGACAATTCCTCATTTGGGGAAGTCCGGAAAAGACACAATGCCAGCATTCGGAACTTACTTCGGCAAGTTTGATCAGCATCTGCTTTCCGATTCCTTTATCTGGGAGAAGAAACCACAGGGAAGTCAGTGTGTTGCACCCATCATTCAATGCCAATTAGATTTAATAATAATAATAATGATAATGATGATAATGATAATGATAATATAATAATAATGATAATGATAATAATTCCCCAGCCAGCATGTTTTAAGATGGGGGACTCCAACTCCCAGAATCCCCCAGCCAGCATGTTTTAAGATGGGGGACTTCAACTCCCAGAATCCCCCAGCCAGCCTGTTTTAAGATGGGGGACTTCAACTCCCAGAATCCCCCAGCCAGCATGTTTTAAGCTGGGGGACTTTAACTCCCAGAATCCCCCAGCCAGCATGTTTTAAGCTGGGGGACTTCAACTCCCAGAATCCCCCAGCCAGCATGTTTTAAAATGGGGGACTTCAAAACTCCCAGAATCCCCCAGCCAGCATGTTTTAAAATGGGGGACTTCAACTCCCAGAATCCCCCAGCCAGCATGTTTTAAAATGGGGGACTTCAAAACTCCCAGAATCCCCCAACCAGCATGTTTTAAGATGGGGGACTTCAACTCCCAGAATCCCCCAGCCAGCATGTTTTAAGATGGATGGACTTCCACTCCCAGAATCCCCCAGCCAGCCATGCTTTAAGATGGGCAAGTTCAACCCGATATTTTTACCTACCGCGAAATTCCGGCACCACGTATAGATTTTCCAAATATATCTTCTTTCCGTGGTTGACGCAATAGGCCTTATAGTACAAGGCGTAGCCAATCGGACGCCCTGCGTGGGCGGCAAAAGCGATGATTGACGCATTTATCATGTGGCACATTTACCTCACATTTCGATAAAAACACAAAAGAGTTCAAATACAAAATGTGAAATATTTTGGGAGTCAAATAATGCAACTGGCTCACAGCAGAAGCCGACATTCTGCATTCACTTGGGTGTGTGTTTGTGTGTGTGTGTATGTGTTTGTGTCTGTAAAAACAGGTACAAGTGGTCCTCGACTTACGACAGTTGAGCCCGAAAATTCTGTTGCTAAGCAAGACAGTTGTTAAGTGAGTTTTATCCCATTTTACGGCTATTCTTGGCATGGTTGTTAAGTGAATCACTGCAGTCATTGAGTTCGAAACACAGTTGTTAAGTGAATCTGGCTTCCCCCATTGACTTTGCTTTTTCAGAGGGTCGCAAAAGGGGATCACGTGACCCCAGGACACCGTCATAAATACGAGCCAAGTGTCTGAGCTTTGATCACGTGACCACGGGGATGCTGCCACAGTCGTAAGTGTGAAAAACGGTCATAAGTCACACTTATGCTGTTGTAACTTCGAAACGGTCACTAAATGAACTGTTGTAAGTCGAGGATTAACGAAGAGTGCAAAAACTTTGAACACAAGTGACCCGCGGTGTGTAATCTCACTCCATTTTGGTAGCTGTTCTTGGGTCACACAATATTTCATTTTACCTCACAATAAATGCATGTAATGAAGATGAGCTTAAGATGGGACTTCCGTTTTTTTTTTTTGTTTTTGCGCTGTAGCGCATGGCCGCGGGATTACGGAGCTCCGCGCCCAACGGCTGATTTCGTCCTGCTGGGGGACCCTAAATGGGGCTAAAGTCGCCCAGGAGAGGCGGTAAATAATGAGGGGTGCCCCAATGATCACGGAACGACGACGGTCCTTCCGTTCGATCTGGGGGGAAGTCCTCTAACCCAGTGGTTCTCAACCTTTTTAATGCCGCGACCCCCAACCGGTCGTAAGTCGAGGACTACTCAACTGGTGCAGCACCGTTTGTAGAATGGGACTTTTGGCGGGCTCAGCAGGGCAAAGACAGCCTGGACAATTCCTATTGGCTTTGGAAAGCCAATAGAATTAGACTCTATTCAAAAGAGTCTAATTCTATTGGCTTTCAAAAGCCAATAGAATAAAAGGGAGTAGCACAGCTAAGGAAAAGGGGAAAAAAAATGGCGGACTGCGTTGTTTGGCGACCCCCGTGAAATGGTCGTTCGACCCCAAATGGGGTCCTGACCCACAGGTTGAGAACCGCTGCTCTAACCTGACAATTATATTTTTTTAAGGTTGAAGAATACTATTGGGAGAACGGAAGATCAAAGAAATATACTAATTAATATACTAATTATGGAAGTACAAAAATTAATTATTATTGATTGTTAATTAACTACCATTGTTTTTTTTTAAATTTATGAACCAAGACAACACGCTGTAAAGTAGGCACTAGGGATTGTTATTGTAAAAAATCAATAAAACATTTCTAAAGAAAAAAGAAGAAGAAGAAGAGCTTAAGATGGATGCATTGACGCGTTTTCAGTCTTCAAAGTTTTACAAGTCTTGGGCGGGCAGATATTAGTGGGGGGTGGGGAAAAATACAGCCTGGCTTTTACCTTGCTTAGAGGGGTCTTCCGGGGGCAATTCAGCCATTAGACACTTGAAGAAGGGATCTGGGCCAAAGCCGTCTGCTTTCAGATCTGGGAGAGGGAGGATGAGGAGAAAGGAGGAAGGAAGGAAGGAAGAACGAAAGAAGGAAGGAAGGAAAAAAGGAAGGAAGAAGGAGGAGGTGATGGAAGAAGAGATGGAGAAGGAGAATTAGGGGAAGGACAAGGAAGGAAGGAAGAACGAAAGAAAGAAGGAAGGAAGGAAGGAAGGAAGGAAGGAAGGAAGGAAGGAGGAAGAAAGGAGGAGAAGGTGATGGAAGAAGAGAGGAAGAAGGAGAATTAGGGGAAGGACAAGGAAGGAAGGAAGGAAAAAAGGGAGGAGGTGATGGAAGAAGAGATGGAGAAGGAGAATTAGGGGAAGGACAAGGAAGGAAGGAAGAACGAAAGAAAGAAGGAAGGAAGGAAGGAAGGAAGGAAGGAAGGAAGGAAGGAGGAAGAAAGGAGGAGAAGGTGATGGAAGAAGAGAGGAAGAAGGAGAATTAGGGGAAGGACAAGGAAGGAAGGAAGGAAAAAAGGGAGGAGGTGATGGAAGAAGAGATGGAGAAGGAGAATTAGGGGAAGGACAAGGAAGGAAGGAAGAACAAAAGAAGGAAGAACGAAAGAAAGAAGGAAGGAAGGAAGGAAAAAAGGAAGGAAGAAGGAGGAGGATGGAAGAAGAGGGAGAAGGAGAATTAGGGGAAGGACAAGGAAGGAAGGAAGAACAAAAGAAAAGGAAGGAAGGAAAGAAAAAAGGAAGAAAGGAGGAGGAGGTGATGGAAGAAGAGATGGAGAAGGAGAATTAGGGGAAGGACAAGGAAGGAAGGAAGAACAAAAGAAGGAAGAACGAAAGAAAGAAGGAAGGAAGGAAGGAAAAAAGGAAGGAAGAAGGAGGAGGATGGAAGAAGAGGGAGAAGGAGAATTAGGGGAAGGACAAGGAAGGAAGGAAGAACGAAAGAAAGAAGGAAGAAAGGAAGGAAGGAAGGAAAAAAGGAAGGAGGAAGTGATGGAAAAAGAAGGAGAATTAGGGGAAGGACAAGGAAGGAAGGAAGAACGAAAGAAAAGGAAGGAAGGAAAGAAAAAAGGAAGAAAGGAGGAGGAGGTGATGGAAGAAGAGAGGGAGAAGGAGAATTAGGGGAAGGACAAGGAAGAAAGGATGAAGAGGAAGAATGGAGGAAAAAAGGTGGAGGAAGAAAATTTGGAGGCAGAGGGAAAGAAATGAGGAGGAAGTGTAAGAAGAAGAGACGGAGAAGGAGAATTTGGAGGAAAAACGGAGGAGGAAGAAGAAGGAAGGAAGGAAGCAGAAGGAAGAATGGAGGAAGAAAAGCGGAGTAACCGCATGAGGAAGAATAGGAGGAAGAGAGGTGTAAGGACAAGAAGAGATGGATAAAGAGGAGGAGGAGGACGAGGAAGAAAGGAGAAGAATGAAGGAAGAAAAGTGGTGGAAGAAGAAATGGAGAAGGAGAATTAGGAGGGGGAGGACAAGGAAGAAAGGAGGGGGAAGAGGAAGAGGAGAAAGAAAGGGGAAAAAAAAAAATTAGGAGGAGGAGGGATAGAGAAGTAAAAAGATGAGGACAATTAGGCGGAAAAGGAGAAGGGATGGAGGAGGGGGAAGGGAAAGAAGGAAGAAAGAAAGGAGGAAAATTCGGAGGAGGAGCAAGAGAAGGAGGAGGAAGAAGAAGAAAGGAGGAGAGATGGAGGAAGAGGAGGAGGAAGAAGAAGAACAGAAACAAACCCTGATTCAGAATTCCGCCTTCGTTGCTCAAAGAAAGCCACCCCAATCCGGGCTGTCCTCCGCCAGCTCCTTCGTTCCCCTCGGCTGGACACGGGTGCCCCCAGTGGCCAAGGGACGCCCCCTGGGCGCTCTGCCCGCATTCCAGCCGGGCAGCGTCCGCCCTGCCCTCCACCCACTGCCCAAATTCCAGAAAAGTTGCCCGCCAGCCTCCAGCCTCACCCGCCTGGCGTTCCCGGGAAGGGGGGGGAGGGCACCTGGCATTTCAACACACCCCCCCCCCAAAAAAAGTCTCCAATTCCTTACCTTCGGCGCTGATTGTGACCTCCTGCAATAAGTTGTGATAGTCAGCAATGTCCTGGGGGGACGGGGGGGGGGAGAGTAAATAGAGAGGCCGTTATGGGGGGACGGGGATACCGTACCCCCAAATCCCAACCTTGTCCAGATCCACAAATGCAGCAGAGAGGTGAGAGGGGGGGAAGATACAATAAGGAGGTCCTCAAGTTACGACTTGGTTTAGTGGCCGTTGGGAAGGCACAAGGGCCCCGGGGGGGGGGAAGTGACTTTGGGCCGGTTTTCACATCTGCAGCATCCCCCCCACACACACACCCCGGTCAGGACTCGGATTTATGACGGTCGCAGTGTCCCAGGGGGGCTTCCTTCCTACTCCTTCCTTCTTCCCTTCCTTCCTTCCTACCCTTTCCTTCCTTTCTTCCTTGCTTCTTCCTTCTTTCCTTCCTTCTCCTTTATTCTTCCTTCCTTCTTACTTCCTACTCCTTCCTTCTTCCCTTCCTTTTCTTTCCTTCCTACTCCTTTATTCTTCCTTCCTTCCTTCTTACTTCCAACTCCTTCCTTCTTCCTTTCCCTTCCTTTTTCCTTCCTAGTCCTTGCTTCTTTCCTTCCGTCCTTTCTTCTTCCTTCTTCCCCTCCTTCCTACCGATCTATTCCTTCCTTCCTACTCCTTCTTCTCTTCCTTTCCTTCCTACCCTTTCCTTCCTTGCTTCTTCCTTCTTTCTTTCCTACTCATTTCTTTCCATCCTACTCCTTTATTCTTCCTTCCTTCATTCTTACTTCCTACTCATTCCTTCTTCCTTTCCTTTCCTTCCTTCCTTTTTCCTTCCTAGTCCTTCCTTCTTTCCTTCCTTCCTTCCTACCTACTTTCCTTCCTTCCTACCTACCTTCTTTCCTTCCTACCTACTCTTTCCTTCCTTCCTACTCCTTTCTTCTGCCTTCCTTCTTCCTTCCTAGTCCTTTCTTCTTTCTTTCTTCCTTCCTTCCTCCCTCCCTCCCTCCCTTTCCTTCATTTTTCCTTCCTAGTCCTTCTTCCTTTCCTTCCTTCCTACCCTTTCCTTCCTTCCTTCCTACCTACTCTTTCCTTCCTTCCTACTCCTTTCTTCCTTCCTTCCTTCCTTCCTTCCTTCCTTCCTTCCTTCCTTCCTTCCTTCCTTCCTCCCTCCCTCCCTCCCTTTCTCCCTCCCTCCCTTTCCTTCATTTTTCCTTTCTTGTCCTTCCTTCTTCCTTTCCTTCCTTCCATCCTACCTACTCTTTCCTTCCTTCCTACTCCTTTCTTCTTCCTTCCTTCCTCCCTCCCTCCCTTCCTTTCCTTCATTTTTCCTTCCTAGTCCTTCCTTCTTCCTTTCCTCCCTCCCTCCCTCCCTCCCTCCCTTCTTTCCTTCCTTCCTGATTCAGCCCTTTCTCACCTTGATGAAGCTCATGAGCAGGTCACAGTCGCTGCTGCAGGCCGGCCGGATGAGACACGCCATCGTTCAGGCCAGGGTGTAGCTCCGAAGTCACACACCCCCCCCCCGGGAAACCAGAGGGCCACTTTTATCTCCTCCTGCCCTGCCCTGCCCTGCCCTGTGGGCGGCTGCAGAGGGCCGGGCAGGGCCGGGTGCCAATCACGCGGAGAAGTGGGGGGGGGGCATCGCCCTTTCCCCCCTGCAGGTGCGGCCGGGACGCTTCACGGATTTTTATTAGCTTTTGATCCTGCCTGGAGCACTTTATGACCCACGCGTTATATACGTGTCGGTGAAAACTTCAGAATTAATCGTAAAAGGGATAAAAAGGACTGAGCAGGCAGGGAGTCCTCGCCTTACGACGACCATTCAGCCCCGAACCTCTGTGCCAGTTGTGCCTGCAGGGGGAAAAACAAACGACAATAAAGGTTATCTAATCTAATGCAAGCGAGGAATTTGTTAAGCGGGGGTGTTTGGGTCCCGTTTTGCGACTTTTCTCGCCACCGCGCTTTAAAGAGAACCCCTGCGGTTGTTAAGGGAGTAACACGGTCGTTAAGCGAATCCGGCTTTCCCCCCTCCCCTGTGGATTTCGCTGGTCGAAGCTTGTCGCGAAAAGGGGAAAATCACGTGACTGTCATAAACGCTGCGACCGTCATAAGTCCGTTGCCGAGCGTCTGAATTTTGATCCCGTGACCCGCGCAGGGAGCCTGCGATGGTCGTTAACGGCAAAAAAAATAAATAAAGGGTACCGGGTCGCTTTTTTCCAGCGCCGTTGTAACTTTGAACAGTCACTAAATGGACCGTTGTAAAGCGAGGACTGCTTGGAGTAGCCACCTAGTCGTCTGTTAGCCCGGTTTTACACCTGGCCGTGCACAGAGGGCAATGTCTGAAAGATAGCAACTTGGACCCCTGCAGGCCTTGACGTGTGTGTGTGTGTGTGTGTGTGTGTGTGTGTGTTGTAAATTCACAAGCTAGTAGCCTCTGAGCATGGATAGAGTGCCTGCATCGGGGTCTTCTCCTAAGTTGGCTGGGCTGAGGCCCCTTTGGAAGCAAATGACAAGGTGGAATGGGTTGGTGAGACGCAGTTTCTTTTAGTGCAGTGTTTCTCAACCTTGACCATTTTAAGGCATGTGGACTTCAACTCCCAGAATTCCACAGCCAGCATTGCTGGCTGTGGAATTCTGGGAGTTGGAGTCCACATGCCTTAAAATGGTCAAGGTTGAGAAACACTGTTTTTGTGGGTTAAGATGCTGGCCTGGAAACAGGGAGACTAGCAGTTCTAGTTCTGCCTTAAGCATGAAACTAGCTGGGTGACTTAGGGCCAATTACTAGGAGATGGAGAGTTCTAGTCCTCTCTAAGGCCTGAAAGCAGATGGGTGATTTGGGGCCAATCCCAGGCGATGGGGAGTTCTAGTCCCGCCTTAGGCATGACAGATGTGTGGCTGACTTGGGCCAATCACCAGGTGGCGGGGAATTCTAGTCCCACCTTAGGCATGAAAGATGCCTGGGTGACTTGGGCCAATCACCAGGAGGCAATGAGTTCTAGTCCCGCCTTAGGCATGACAGATGTCTGGCTGACTTGGGCCAATCACCAGGAGACAGTGAGATCTAGTCCCGCCTTAGCCATGAAAGATGCCTGGGTGACTTGGACCAATCACCAGGCGGCAGGGAATTCTAGTCCCGCCTTAGGCATGACAGATGTCTGGCTGACTTGGGCCAATCCCCAGGCGGCAGGGAATTCTAGTCCCGCCTTAGGCATGACAGATGTCTGGCTGGCTTGGGCCAATCACAGGAGCCAGGGAGTTCTAGTTCCGCCTTAGGCATGACAGATGTCTGGCTGACTTGGGCCAATCCCCAGGAGGCAGGGAGTTCTAGTCCCGCCTTAGGCATGACAGATGTCTGGCTGACTTGGGCCAATCGCACTCTCTCAGGCCAACCCACCTCACAGGATTGTTGTCACTGTGGGGGACAAAAGACGAAGGATATTCCGAAAGTTTGCCAGCTGGGGAATTCTGGGAGTTGAAGTCCATACGTCTTCAACCCCACCACGGTTGAGAAACGCCGGGCTTAAATTCACCCAGGGCTCCGGGTGTGAACTCTGCCACACAAACGTTTCAGAAATGGAAATCTGATCTACAGGTTGCACCCAGCGACCTGGCGCACCTGTGGGAATGTGCCGGAGTTTATCCCTCGTTTCCCCTTGGCCGAGTTCTTCCAGCCCACTCATTAACCTGGGTTTACAACCCCTAATGGCCACTCATCAATCGCCCCTCGCGATTATTAAATGCAATTTATGCTTCCGGCAAACTTTATTGCCATATAGATTGGAGGCTGGATTTGGGCCAAATGTACACCTTCCAGAGATCTGGGATCCCTGATTTCCCAACGGATCGGATTAAAGAGGATCCACCTTCGGACTCCCGGCCGCGGGATCAAGGTGTCATGGAAAAAAGGAGATGCTTGACCCACAAAAAAAAAAAAAAGAGCAATTTTGCAATGAGCCGAAGGAACTTGGCGCTTGCTGCTGGGGGGAGCGTTGGACCCCCAAAAGGTATCCTATCCTATTCTATTCCCTTATGTATTTTATTATTCTACTCTATTATGTATTTTACTCTATTCTGTTATGTATTTTATTATTCTATTCTATTCCTAATTCTATTCTATTCCCTATTATATATGCTATGCTATAGAATTCCCTATTATATATTCTATAAGAATAGAATAAAGAAACAGAATAAGAACTAGAATAGAATATGAAAAGACAATAGAATAGAATAGAATAGAATAGAATAGAATAGAATAGAATAGAATAGAATAGAAATAAGGAATAGAATAGAATAGAATAGAATAGAATAGAATAGAATAGAATAGAATAGAATAGAATAGAATAGAATAGAATAGAATAGAATAGAAATAAGGAATAGAATAGAATGGAATAGAAATAAGGAATAGAATAGAATAGAATAGAATAGAATAGAATAGAATAGAATAGAATAGAATAGAATAGAACTGGAAGGGACCTTGGAGGTCTTCTAGTCCAACCCCCTGCTCAAGCAGGAGAACCTATACCATCTCAGACAAGTGACTATCCAATCTCGTCTTAAAAACCTCCAGTGATAGAGCGCCCACGATTTCTGGTGGCAAGCAGTTCCACTGGTTAATTGTCCTCCCTTTTCAGGAAGTTTCTCCTTAATTCCAGGTTGCTTCTCTCTCTGGTCAGTTTCCAACCGTTGTTTCTCGTCCTGTCCTCTGATGCTCTGGAGAATAACGTGACCCTCCTCTTCCTTGTGGCAGCCCCTCAGATATTGGAACGCTGCTATCCTGTCACCCCTATTTCTTCTTTTCTTTAGATTAGCCAGACCCAAGTCCCGCAGCCGTTCTTCGTACATTTTAGTCTCCAGGCCTTGGATCCTCTTAGTTGCTCTTCTCTGCACTTTTCCCAAACTCTCAACCTCTTTTTTTGTGATGTGGTGACCAAAATTGGCTGCAGTATCCCAGGTGTGGCCTTACTAGGGCTTTACAAAGCGGTATTAATACCTCGCGTGATTTTGATTTTCTGCCTCTGTTTATGCAGCCCAGGATCGTGTTGGCTTTTTGGGCTGTTGCCGTACACGGCTGGCTCAGGGTCAAGCGATCGTCCACCAGGACTCTCAAGGTCCCTCTCAAAACCAAATCAAAATTTGGGAAGCAGCAACGATTGCAGCCTCCCAGGATCACGTGATCAACATTTGTGATCTTCCCAGCCAGCAAAGTCGATTGGGGGAGGGTTTAGATTTGCTTAACGACTGCATGATTCATTTAACAACCCTGGGGACAAAATCTGGTGGGATTAACGCATCAACCGCCTTGCATAAGAATGGATCCCAATTGTGGTTGTTAAGGAATACCTCAGCCTAGACCAGTGGTTCTCAACCTGGGGGTCGGGACCCTATTTGGGGTCGAACGACCATTTCACGGGGGTCGCCAAACAAGGCTGTCCGCCATTTTTTCCCCCTTTTCTTTGGCCACGCCCCTGGCACCCGATGATATATAAGTGGTTGGGGGTCACCACAACATAGGGAACTGTATTATGGGGTCGCGGCATTAGAAACGTTGAGAACCACTGGTCTAGACTAACAAAGAGAAGGACCAGGGGGACGTGATAGCAGTCTTCCATTATTTGGGAGGCTGCCACCCCAAAGAGGGGGGTCCCCCTATTCCCTAAAGCCACCAGAAGGCAGGACAAGAAGCGACGGATGGAAACTGATCAAGGAGAGAAGCAACCTGGAACTAAGAAGGAATTTTGGGACCGTTAGAACAATTAACCCGTGGAACAGCTTGCTACCAGAAGTTGCGGGTGCTCCATCACTGGAGGTTTTTAAGAAGAGACTGGACAACCATTTGCCTGAAATGGTACAGGGTCTCCTGCCTTGAGCAGGGGGCTGGACTAGAAGACCTCCAGGGTCCCTTCCAGCTCTATTCTGATTGATTGGTATGGGATCTCCTGCCTGAGCAGGGGGTTGGACTAGATGACCTCCAAGGTCCCTTCCAGCTCTATTCTGATTGATTGGTATGGGGTCTCCTGCCTGAGCAGGGGGTTGGACTAGATGACCTCCAAGGTACCTTCCAGCTCTATTCTGATTGATTGGTATGGGGTCTCCTGCCTGAGCAGGGGGTTGGACTAGATGACCTCCAAGGTCCCTTCCAGCTCTATTCTGATTGATTGGTATGGGGTCTCCTGCCTGAGCAGGGGGTTGGACTAGATGACCTCCAAGGTCCCTTCCAGCTCTATTCTGATTGATTGATTGGTATGGGGTCTCCTGCCTGAGCAGGGGGTTGGACTAGATGACCTCCAAGGTCCCTTCCAGCTCTATTCTGATTGACTGACTGATTGATACGGGGTCTCCTGCCTGAGCAGGGGGTCGGACTAGATGACCTCCAAGGTCCCTTCCAGGCTCTGGAACTCCATTATCCCCATTTTCCTTCCTGCATTCCAGAGGCAGGCTGGGGCAGCTCTGCTCTGCTTCCAAAGTTGACTTCCTACCCAACCGGTTCAAGCCAGCCCAGACAGCCTCCCCCTCACCCCCCCTCCCCTTAATCAACTGGATGAAAAAAGAGAGGAAAGGACCGATTGGGAGGGGGGGGGGAAGGAGGTGATGCCTGCGCGCGCGCGTCCCCGCGAGACCGCCTCTCCCTGGATCCGTGGGATCTCCCCCTTTGGCCCCTTGAAGGCGGGTGGACTTCAACTCCCAGGATCCTCCACCCTTGGCTTCGCCCGCCGAGGCATGCTGGGAGCCGAAGTCCACACAAACCAAATCTGTGAAAACCCTAGCGCCCAGGGGTAGGCAACCTCGGCTCTTTTATGACTCGTGGACTTCAACTCCCAGAATTCCTGAGCCAGCATAGCTGGCTCAGGAATTCTGGGAGTTGAAGTCCACGAGTCATAAAAGAGCCGAGGTTGCCTACCCCTGACACCTAGTTCATCTCCCACCCACCCACCCCCAAACCCATTCCCCCCTTTTTATCTCCCTCTTTTCGCGGAAGCCCCCGCCTCCTCCAGGTCCCTCTTGCGCGATAGACTGCTCCTGCCCTGGAAGGCTCGCTTTTTGCAAACTACCCATCCAACTTGCACACAGTTGCAAAGATCCTTTGACGGACGGGGGGGAGGGGCGTTCCTCAGAGTCTAGAGAAAGAAGGGGGGGGGGGTGCGCGGCTTTCCCCTCTTGGGGGGACGATGGGACTTGTAGTCCTGACCCCAGCGGGCCGCTTCCAAGTCCTCGACTGAGGAACGCGGGGGGGGGGCGCCTTTTTCTGCAGAGGCGATGCTTGAAGTTTGGGGGAGGGGGAAGAGAAGACATTGCAGGCGGCAGTGGCACAGGTAAAGCTCCGCCTCTCTTTCTCTCTTGCTCTCTCCGCTGATGCCCGCTGCAAAGATGGCCCCGGCGGCTTCCCCTCGCGAGAACGCGCCTCCTTTCCACCCCCCCCACCCCCAGTCCGCGGGTTCGAGCCGGGGAATCCCCACCGCGTGCTTTCCTGCAGCCGGGGGAGCGTTTCCCTGGCTCCGTTCATTTGGCGGGCGGAGCGCGGCGGGGAGTGGATCGAGGCTGGGCGCCGAGTCGGTAAATCACGGGAGGACGGGGGGGGGGGGGCGAGAAGGTCCGTATTCTGGGGAGGGGGGCTGCAAAGCCCAGCCGGGCTTTGCAGCTTCGGCTGCTGCTGACTCAACTCGGGGCTTCCGCTCGGGCTGAAGCCGAAAGCGAGCGAGCGCCGGGGGGCGGGGGTGAGAATGGAACGTTGGAGCCCGCCGCGTTCGGAGTTGGAACGTTGCGCTGGTCCATGGAACGTTGGCTTACTTTCTCTTTTGCTTACTTTTTTTTTGTTTGTTTCCCACGCTGCCCCGGCCTCGTTCGTCCCGGGCGTGCAGACACCCCCCCCCGTAAAAACAAAAAAAAAGGTGCAGTCCCACCACCTGGATCCAAAGCGGGGAGGGGGGGCAGAAAGTGCAAGGAGGGGGGAATAAATAAGGGGGAGGATGCAAGGGGGGGTAAATTAGAGGGAGGGCAGAAAATCTCAGCCTGGCTGCAAAGCTGTCCCCCCCTCCCCAGCCCTCCTGAAGCCACGGACGCCCCTTTGCCCCATGGCTGGGGGCGGTGGGGATGGGGGGGGGAGAAAGATGTGTGGGGGGGAAGATGTGTGTGAAGAGAAGACGTTAACGCCGCTCGGTTGGATCTTTCCTGCTTCCCCCCCCCTTTTCCGGCAAGATATTTAATCTTTGCTAATAAGACCCCCTCCTCAATAATTGCACTTGTTGGAATTGTAGAGTTTGAAAGGTGGGTGGGGGGATAAATAAGAGGGAGAGTTGAAAGGGGGCAGAGAATGCGAGGTGGGGGGGATAAATAAGGGGGAGGGTAGAAAGGGGGGGGAGACAATGCAAGGAGGGGGGGTAAATAAGGTTTAGAGTTGGAGGGGGGGAGAATGCAAGGGGGGGTCGCGATGGGTCGGACACGACTTCGCAACTAACAACAACAACAAAGAAAGGGGGTGGGAAGGAGGGCAAAAAATCAGCCTGGTTGGAAGAGTTGCCCCCCCCAGCCCTCCCCTTTGCCCCATGGCTGGGGGGGCGGTGGGGGGGAAAGATCTGGGGGGGGTGAAGAGAAGACGTTAATGCTGCTCGGTTGGATCTTTCCTGCTTCCTCCGCCACTTCTCCGGGAAGATACTGAATCTTTGCTAATAAGACCCCCTCCCCAATAGTTGCACTTGTTGGAATTGTAGAGAGTTTGAAAGGTGGGGGGGGGAGAATGCAAGGAGGAGGGGGGATAAATAAGAGAGAGGGATGAAAGGGGGAAGGTGCAAGGAGGGGATAAATGAGGAGGGGAGAAGATGCAAGGGGGGGGGAGATAAATTAAGAGGGAGGGGCCGCTGGAGGATGGCAGCGAAGGGTCTCTGCCTAGCCCCTTTTTAGAGAGTTTAAAAGTGCTTCCTGGATTTTGCGAGTGGGGAGGGGGAGATCGTGCGATGGATGTTAGTCGTGCGGTTAAACCGGAGCAGACACTTCTGGTTTTAAAACCGAAGCAGAACCGGTGCAAGCCCAGCGCTGGCTTAAATCTTCTCTTTTTCTCTCGCTTCCCCTCCCCCCCCGTCGCCGGAAACATCCTCTGAATGGTACAGTCCGCTCCGTTGTTGGCTGCGGTGGGAAGGAACCAAAAGAAGGGAGCGGAGGGGGGGGGAAACTTGGGCATCCTAAGACGAGGGTATGCGTGATTTTTTTTTTTTTTTTGTGCGCGTACAAAGCGAGACACATCGTGTTTAAGATGAAAAAAACAAACAAACTTCTGAACGAATTAAGCCCGGGGGAGGGCTTTAATCATTTCCCTTCCCCTCTTTACGCAATGGTATAGCCTCGCTGCCCTTCTCCTCCTCGCCTTTCTGCAGAAAGGATGCCAAAGAAAGACGATTAACCTTTTTTTGATTCTTGCGAAATTTGCTAATCAAGCCGGCGCCAGAACGATGGCTTGTTTCCGGGAGGCTTGTTGGGGGGGGGGGGACTCATTTCCATTTCGTAAAAGAAAAGAAAAAAAATGCATTGCCTGTTTTGCAAAATTAGTTGGGGGTTTCAAAGGGGTGCATTTTCTGCAAAGATAGTAAAATACGATTGGGGAAGAGGTCCCCTGTGCTGGCTGAGCTTTGGTGGTTTTCTTGCAGACGTCTCGTAACCAAACTAAGTAATGCCATCAGTGCAAAATGGGATTCAATGGAATAATAATAATAATAACAATAATAATAATAACAACAACAACAACAGCAGAATAGAAGAGAAAGAGCTGGAGAAGATAATAAAATACAAAGACCTACAAATAGAAATAGAAAGACTGTGGCAAAAGCAAGCAAGGGTAGTACCAATAGTCATAAGCGCCTTGAGTGCAATCCCAAAACAACTGGAGCACCACTTGAACACCATCATCAGCATTGACAAATTCGCTATTAGTCAATTGCAAAAGGCAGCCTTACTAGGAACTGTTTCCATCCTGCGACGATATCTGTAATACCCTCAAACATCCACATCTGCCTATCCCAGGTCCTGGGTAAGGACTCGATAGGGAGACAAAATGCCAAATCCAGTCTGAACATCTGGCTGACTGTGCGATGATCCAAAATAATAATAATAATAATAATAAAGTTGGAAGGGACCTTGGAGGTCATCTAGCCCAACCCCCTGCTCAGGCAGGAAACCCTATACCCTTTCAGACAAATGGCTGTCCAGTCTCTTCTTAAAAACTTCCTGTGTTGGAGCATTCACCGCTTTTGGAGGCAGGTGGTTCCACTGGTTAATTGTTCTCACTGTCAGGAAGTTTCTCCTTAGTTCTAGGTTGCTTCTCTCCTTGATTTGTTTCCATCCGTTGTTTCTTGTCCTGCCTTCAGGCGCTGCGGGGCCAGCTTCAAAGAAAATGTCCTATATAGGGGGTATTATTGGATGCAGCAAAATTGGGAATATGCAGAGTCTGAAGCCTCTTAAAGTCTAAAACAGTCTTTGTCACAAGCTTGGCCCCTTTAAGACAAGTGGACTTCAACTCCCAGAAGTCCCCAGCCATCACAGCTCTTGGGGGATTCTGGGCGTTGAAGTCCACCTGTCTTAAAGGGGCCAAATCTGGGAAACATTTGCCCTAAACCAGGGGTCTTCAAACTTGGTTCTTTTATAACTTGCGGACTTCAATTCCCAGAATTCTGCAGCCAGGCACATTGGCTGAGGAATTCTGGGAGTTGAAATCCACAAGTCATCAAAGGGCCAAGTTTGAAGACCCCAGCTTGTGGATTTCAACTCCCAGAGTTCCTCAGCCAAATACAAGTGCGTGGCTGAGGAATTCTGGGAGTTGAAGTCCACAATTCATAAAAGAGCCAAGTTGGAAGACTCCCTGCCCTAAAAACCATGCTGAAAAGCAAGAAAGGAAATTAAAGGCAGTGTAAAAAAATAACAATAAAATAAAGCAAAATAGTTAATTTAATACATACCAATAGGACGTGCCAGGTATCCAGGCAGGATGTGTTTTAAAAACCCGATAAAACGCCAATTTTGGATGTCTTTTTCCGTTTTTGTTTTTTTAAACACCGCCTGCAGTCCAAAGATTAATTCGGATGGCTGAATGCCAAATCACCTCAATGCATTTTTTTTCCTATCTTGATTTTTGCCCTAATTTTTATTTGACTTGCTCTCGACTTAATTTGCTGCCAATTTCCTGGTGCACTCAAACTTTTCATCCGTTTTTCAAGATAGCCAAATTTTCACTTCCTGTCTCAAACTGGGCGGAATCGTCAACGTTTTTCTATAAAATTAACTTTTTGAATCTTTTTTCTTTTTTTAAGGTTGTTTTTTAAAAAAATGCAAGGAACTGCTTCTTAGGCTTTTTTGGGACTTGTTTATCATTTGCAATGCAGCCAAAGTTTTTTGTTGTTTTGGTTTCTCCCCCCCCCCCCCCCGTTGACTTTGCTTTTCAGAAAAATCGCAAAAAGGGGGAATCACGTGACAACCTCCCCCGGGACACGGCGATAAGTATGAGCCGAGTGCCCGAATTTGGGCCACGTGAAAATGGTCGTAATGCTGTAACTTCGGTCGCTTAAATCAGGGCTTTTCAACCAGTAGTACGGGTACCCCCTGTGGTCCATTGGCACCTGGCAGGTGGTACGTGACCATCCTAGAAAAATGGTAGCAAGGGAGGGGAATGAGCTGAACTGGGGGCAGCACCGCACAAGCCTGAGTGAGAGACGGCTGGAGCTGCAGGGCTGTCAGGGCTCAGCGGAAGCGCCAGGATCAGTGCCAGGCTCCAGCTGGAGCTCAGCGCTGATCCTGGCGCTTCTGCTGAGCCCAGAAGAAGCACCAATCAGCTGGAAAGCAGCACTGATCCTGGTGCTTCTGCTGAGCCCAGAAGAAGCACCAATCAGCTGGAAAGCAGCATTGATCCTGGTGCTTCTGCTGAGCCCTGAAGAAGCACCAATCAGTTGAAAAGCAGCATTGATCCTGGTGCTTCCGCTGAGCCCTGAAGAAGCACCAATCAGTCGGAAAGCAGCATTGATCCTGGTGCTTCTGCTGATGCCTGAAGAAGCACCAATTAGCTGGAAGGCAGGACTGATCCTGGCGCTTCTGCTGAGCCCTGAAGAAGCACCAATTAGCTGGAAGGCAGGACTGATCCTGGCGCTTCTGCTGAGCCCTGAAGAAGCACCAATCAGCTGGAAAGCAGCATTGATCCTGGTGCTTCTGCTGATGCCTGAAGAAGCACCAATTAGCTGGAAGGCAGGACTGATCCTGGCGCTTCTGCTGAGCCCTGAAGAAGCACCAATCAGCTGGAAAGCAGCACTGATCCTGGCGCTTCTGCTGATGCCTGAAGAAGCACCAATTAGCTGGAAGGCAGGACTGATCCTGGTGCTTCTGCTGAGCCCTGAAGAAGCACCAATCAGCTGGAAAGCAGCATTGATCCTGGGGCTTCTGCTGAGCCCTGAAGAAGCACCAATCAGCTGGAAGGCAGGACTGATCCTGGTGCTTCTGCTGAGCCCTGAAGAAGCACCAATCAGCTGGAAAGCAGCACTGATCCTGGTGCTTCTGCTGATGCCTGAAGAAGCACCAATTAGCTGGAAGGCAGGACTGATCCTGGCGCTTCTGCTGAGCCCTGAAGAAGCACCAATCAGCTGGAAAGCAGCACTGATCCTGGCGCTTCTGCTGAGCCCTGAAGAAGCACCAATCAGTCGGAAAGCAGCATTGATCCTGGCGCTTCTGCTGAGCCCTGAAGAAGCACCAATCAGCTGGAAAGCAGCATTGATCCTGGCGCTTCTGCTGAGCCCAGAAGCAGCACCGATCAGCTGGAATTTTGCAGCCTCTCCAGGGTCTTGTGATTTACATTCAGATGCTTGGCAACCGATTCATATTTATGACGGTCACAGTGTCCCAGGGTCATGTGAAGGGACCAAAACCTGCTGCAACCACCCAGCAGACGGGGGGGGGAATAAAAACCAAACACCCCCCCCACCCCTGCTGCCAATCCTCCACAGAAATGCTCACAACAATGAAAACCTCGGACAGGAGGAAGAGCGCGGCCAGGTGGGCAGGCGGGTGTCTTGCTCGGCTGTGGCTTGGGGGGAACTTTTTTCAGTGCCATTGTAACTTCGAACGGTCACTAAACGCACTGTTGTAAGTCGAGGACTACCTGTACATCAGTTTTTTCCCTTTTTTGGGAGGGGGTCATCAAGTTTTGGACACCTTGCTAGGCGACTGGTGGTCCTCAGATGTTAACATATCCTAAAAATGGTACAATGGGTGGAAAGGTTGAAAAGCCCTGGATTAAATGAAGCTGCATTCTCTTTGCATTCTGGGTGTATCAGCGTTGATCTCCGGCACATATTTATTTTAGATTAATAATTCCGGTTGCATCATACAATCCGCCCATCATTTTCCGCACATCTTTCATTATTTTTTTGGGGGGGGAGCCAGTTGCGTTGTTTGATTTGTTGTTACTCGTCAGGATGAAAGAGAGGAATGGAAAAACCTCAAAGGAGGGGGGGAAATTTCCAAGAGAAAGTGGATTTATAGGTGCGGATTTGCACTATAACCTAACTAACCAAGTTTTAGCTTGGCGTCCTCTCTAAACAGACCATCCTGGTTTATGGCAATCCAACAGAGCAGCCTTTCCTAAATGCCGTAAGACGGAATGGAGGTCTTTTCTGAGGGGTTTTTAGTATAAAGATAGTCCTCCATTTACAACCCTTCCTTTAGTGGTCGTCCAAAGTTGCAACAGGACGGAGCAAAAGGACTTAACGGCCGTTTTTCACACTTAATGACCGTCGCAGCTCGCGTGCGTGTATCAAAATTTGGACTGCTCGGCAACGGATTCGTATTTATGACGGTCACAGCATCCCAGGATCATGTGATTTCCCTTTTGCGACCTTCAGCCAAGCCAAATGGGGAAGCAAGTTTCACTTAACGACCGGGTTACTAAGCGAAGAACGGCAGTGATTCGTTTAATGGCCGTGGCAAGAAGGGTTGTAAGGTGGAACAAAATCCACTTACCGACTGCCTCACTTAAGAATGGAAATTTTGGGCTCAGCTGTGGACGTAAGTCGGGGACTATCTCAGATAGTCCTCGACTTACGACAATCTGTTTAGTGACCCTTCATAGTTTACAACGGCACTGGAAAAAGGGACTTGCGGCCGTTTTTCATACGACCGTCGCAGCGTCTCCCCCCCCCTGTGGTCACATGATCAAAATTCAGATGCTTGGCAGCTGACTCGCATTTACGACGGCTGCAGCGTTCCGGGGGGGGGGGTCACCTGAACTTCTTTTTGCGACTCGTATTTACGATGGTTGCAGCGTCCCCGGGGTCACGTGATTCCGGACAAATAATAATAATAAAGTTGGAAGGGACCTTGGAGGTCATCTAGTCCAACCCCCTGCTCGGGCAGGAAACCCTATGTACCATTTTGGACCTTTTGTGACCTATTGTTCACTTAACAACCAGGTTACTATCTCAGCAACTGCTGTGATTCCCTTAGCAACCGAGGGAGGAAAGGCTGTAAAACGGGGTAAAAGTCACGTAACAATTGTCTCACTTAGCAATGGAATATGAGGTCGTAAGTTGAAGTAAGATGGAAGTTTTTAAAAAAATATTTGTTAGTGGCTTTGCAACAGGTTTCATACATGATAAAAAAATACTAAATCAATCGGGCTCCCAAAACTTTAATATTAATAATAAAATAAACTTGGAAGGGATCTTGGAGGTCATCTAGTCCAACCCCCTCCTCAGGCAGGAAACCCTATCCTGTTTCGGACAAATGGCTGCTGTCCAGTCTCTTCTTAAAAACTTCCAGTGTTGGAGAAGGGAGGGAGGGAGGAAAGAAGGAAGGAAGGATAACAGAATAACAGATGGAAGGGACCTTGGAGGTCATCTAGTCCAACCCCCTGCTCAGGCAGGAAACCCTATACCATTTCAGACAAATGGCTGTCCAGCATTCACCGCTTTTGGAGGCAGGTGGTTCCACTGGTTAACTGTTTTGTGGCAGTTCCCAGAACTCTTTGGGCTCCCTTCCGCCATCTTGCAAAGCAGGGAATCCTGGGGTTCGTAGTCTTGCCACAGCTGCCCCCTCCCCCCCACTCTCCCAGGAAGGAAACACACCAGATCGAAATATACTCTAACCTTAACTGGCCGCTTTGGATGGGGTAAAAGAGATGGAAATGGCTTCAATCTTTTCTTTTTCCTGTCCTGCCTCAGTTTCCCCGTTGTAAAGGAAAACCAACATGGACCAAGCTGTGGAGGAAGACCCCGATCCGCCCCTGAGCCCGCCTCTCAGCCAAGAGACCTTTAAGCAGATGTGGTGCAAAGTGGTCCACCCGTTTTGGGTGAGTGTGACGTTCATCCTCAGCCACTTTGGTGGACTTCAATTCCCAGAATTCCCGGTTCTGGGGAATTCTGGGAGTTGAAGTCCACCCCAAGTTTGAAAAACACGGATTGATCCCATCCCTTGGTTCTCCGGAGTTGACTCCACAAGCCAGCCCAAACGCTAACTCCACTGGGTTACAAGGTGGCTTGTCTAGCCCCCCCCCCGAACTTGTGTCAACTAAGCCATGATTTGGGGCTTCTTGAGCGCTGAAATGCCAGGAACTGTGGCCAGCTTGTCAAATCCGCAGTTGGGGAAACCGTAGCCTAAAACCGACAGGTGAAATTCATTTTATCACATCTGGGAGGGGGGCCATCCCCATCAGGCTAATTATAATATATTTATATGTTTTTAGGAATTGAACGCGGACTCCACCCAGCAAACCACCATCCCCTACCTGGTGGAAGGGGGCAGCTCCACGGATCAAACCAACTTTGGCTTGTCGGCTCCGCCAGTCTCGGACGGCTCTCCGTTGGGTGCTCTGGCTGAAGGCTATCCAGGGGGAGAAGGTTATCCCACCCTGGCCTTAAGTGACTTCTTGGAGAACTCCCAGTTCGTGCCCCTAGCCCCCCAAGATTATGGGGCTGGGGAGAGCTGCCCGATCCCCCCCACGGAAGATTATCCGGGAGAATTCGGCTTCAATCTGGAGTTTGAGCAGTCGGGCACCGCCAAGTCGGTCACTTACACCGTACGAAGTGGGACCAGGTTATAAGTTCAATTGGGGGGCAGGGGTCTTTCCTTTCCTGCCCTCCCCCCCAAAAACGGGGGGGGGGGTTTTCCTCTCGTCTCGATTGATCAAAAAAGTCAAAACGGCGGCCGCCGTCGTATGTCGATCCACTCCCTGCCCCTTATGGACGGGTGAGGTCAACGGAACCTAGATTCCGCCTTTCCTGCCTTGCAATCCCTGTTTGCCACCGATCCTGGTTTGCTTAAAAAAAAAAAAAAAGAGCACAGGGTGGGCTCTCCGGGGTGTGTGTGTGGGGGGGGGGCTGTCTTCAGATCTGATTTTTGTGGCTTTTAAAAAAAAAACAAATTGGGGGGGGTTTGGAAGCACCTCTCTTCTTCGGAAGCAGGGTTCCGAGTGCGAAATCTGCCCCCCCCCTCCCCGCCGGGCACCACTGTGGTGCTGCAGGTGGATATGCAGGGCTGGCATGCAAAGGTAGTCCCCGACTTACGACGGGTCACTTCGAGTTCCAGTAACTGCTGCCTGTCCTCCCCCCGCCCCCTCAGATGCAACTGACAGGCATCCATAATAATAATAATAATAAGAACAACAACAACAACAATAATAATAATAGAGTTGGAAGGGACCTTGAAGGTCATCTATCCAACCCCCTGCTCAGGCAGGAAACCCTATACCATTTCAGACTGATGATGATGATAATAATCAGATAAAAGTTGGAAGGGACCTTGGAGGTCATCTAGTCCAACCCCCTGCTCAGGCAGGAAACCCTACACCATTTCGGACAAATGGCTGCCCAATCTCTTCAAAATCTCCGTGTTTAAAACTTCTGGAGGCGGGTTGTTCCACTGGTTAATTGTTCTAACTGATTAATTGTTCTAATTGATTAACTGCCGTGTCCCACAATGACACAACCCCAACGTCAAACAACATTTTTGTTCAAAATGACCCTTCGCTTCCAATTCCCAGCACAAAAAAAAAAAAACCCATGCTCATCAAGGAGAGTAATGGATTTGCTTAATGACCAGGTCAGTTGCTTAGCAACGGCTGCAAAATGGGTTCCTACAGTCCTGATTATCGATGTCCCGACTTAACGACTGTCGGGGTCAAGGACGGTTGTACGTCAAGGACTGATTTGAGATTGGGAGGATAAGAATCTGGAGCACTGGGGCCCTCACCTTTCAACCTCTTGTGAGCCAGACACCCATTTCACGTAGTCCTCGCTTTATGACCATTTGTTTCAAAGTTACAACGGGGCTGAAAACAGGCCGTTAGGACCGTTTTTCACCCTTAGCGACCGTTACAGCCTCCCCACAATCACGCGGTCAAAATTCAGACCCTTGGCAAACTGACTCGTACCTATGACGGTCGCAGGATCCAGGGTGTGTGTGTTTGTGTCACACGGTCTCCTTTTGCGACCTGAAAAGCCAAGTCAAGGGGAAAAGCCGGATTCGCTTAACGACCGGGTTACTCACTTGCGTCTGCAGCGACTCGTTTAACAACTGTAGCGAGGAAGGTCGTAAAGCGGGGCCCCCCTTGACCTCGCCGCTCTCTTGCTTAGTAGCGAAAATGGGTGCGATCGCGGCCGTATGTTTGAGGACTGCCTGCACTAATGTCGAAACCGCAGGGGTATGGCGAGAAAGGCCGTAAAACGGGGCGAAAGCCAACCACTGTCCTGCTTAACGGCTGAAATGTACAGCTGCGTCGTAAGTCGAGGACTAGCTGACTTGTCTTATCCGCTGCCCCAAGGAAGCCCCCTCCCCTTTTTCCTTTCTGAGGCTGTGGGGTGGGAGCTGCTTGTCAGAAGACTAAAGACCCCCACCCATAAATCATAGATTTAAAAAAAAATCTGATTTTGCTTTAAGTTAGTCCACACTTTCCAGCTTCTGGGGGCCCACCCCCAGGAGACCCCCCCCCAATCACGAATATAGGTAGCCCTCAACTCACAATTCATTTAGTGACCGAAGTTACAACGGCATTGAAAAAAGTCACTTACTGACCGTTTTTCACACTTAACGGCCGTCGCGGCAAACCCCCAGGATCACGTAGTGATCAAAATTCAGACTCTCGGGAAAACTCACTCGCCTTTACGACGGCCGCAGGGTCCCCGGGGAGGGGGGGAGCTCACGTGATTCCCCTTTTGGGGAAGCCACGTTCATTTAACGACCGCGTGGCTCACTGAACAACTGCCCTGATTCGCTTAACGACCAGCCAAAATAAAACTCGTACGATGGGGCCAAAATTCGCCACAAAGGTCTCCCTGAGCAATGTGGCTTCGTTCTGGCCGTAAGCCGAGGACCACCGGTATGCCCTGAATTGGATTTTAGGCTCCTGTGGACCCCCCCCCCCCCAAAAAAAACCGTGTCGGCGATGGGGTGCGTGAAAACGTCCTTGGGTGAATTTTGCAGTGACCGTCGGCAGCACTGAGAAGCTGGGACAATGTCTTTCTCCCCTTCTTCCCCCCCCCCAGTCTGTACCCCATAGTATTGCAGCTTTGGGGGGGCACCCTGCATGCCTGAACCCCCCAATTTTAACTTACCGCATAGCTGGCGCCCCAATTTTTGTCGCTGTGTCTTCAGCGTGTTGATCTTTCCTGATTCCTGGATGGGGATGATCACCCCCCCCACTTTTCCATTTCCGACCTGCCCACCCAATGCCTGGCCTTTGAAGAAGGGGGGTGGGCTATGAATAGGAGGGGGGGTCTCAACGGAGACCCCCCCTCTTCCTCCCTCTGCTCCGTGCGCACAACTGTTGACCATCCTGGACGTGTCAGGGCATGTTTCTCTGCTGAGTTTCGGCAAAGGACTGTCTCAGATTCCTTTTGGGGGGGATGTTGAAGACCCCCACCCCATTTCCGGCATGTGGGCGAGAGACCCCCCCCTTCCCACGCCCAGCAGCCCCCAATTCCCTTCTTTTGCAGTGAAGGCAGAAGAGGCCAACTGCCAGCCGTTGAGTGGGAGATTTGGATAAGGGGCTTGCTTGAAATTGGGGGTGGGGGGTGAAATGGAAATTGTGGTTCCCCCCCCCCTCGGTCCAACAACAATTGGTTGCAATTCAGAGCAGGCATTCTTTGGGGAGGGGGAGTGAGTTAATATAGGGCAGGGGTCTTCCAACCTGGCCCTTTGATGATGTGGACTTCAACTCCCAGAATTCCTCAGTGTGTGTGTGTGTGTGTGTGTGTGTGTGTGTACTGGTATACTATATGCATATATATAGGTTTTCAAGCAAAGATTGGGTAGACAGTTGTCCAGAATGTCACAGGGTCTTTTGTTGTAGCACAGGGTTGGACTAGAAGACCTCTAGGGTCCCCTTCCATCCCTCTGGTTTTCTTTCTTTCTTTCTTTCTTTCTTTCTTTCTTTCTTTCTTTCTTTCTTTCTTTCTTACTTTTTCTGTTTTTTTTTCTTTGTTTTTTTTATTCTCATTTTCTTTTTCCTTTCTCGCTTTCCCTATTCCGTCCTTCCTTTTTCTTCCTTTTTCTGTTTTTCTTCATTCTCTCTCTCTCACTTTACCCCTCCCTCCCTCCCTTCCTTCTTAATATAGGGCAGGAGTCTTCAGACTTGGCCCTTTTGCGACTTGTAGACTTCCTCGGCCAGGAATTCTGGGAGTTGAAGTCCACAAGTCATAAAGGGGGTCCTAGTTCCCTCACGCTGGCTGAGGAATTCTGGGAGTTGAAATCCAAAAGTCATAAAGGGCCCTAGTTCCCTCACGCTGGCTGAGGAATTCTGGGAGTTGAAGTTCACAGGTCATCAAAGGGTCCTAGTTCCCTCACGCTGGCTGAGGAATTCTGGGAGTTGAAGTTCACAGGTCATCAAAGGGTCCTAGTTCCCTCACGCTGGCTGAGGAATTCTGGGAATTGAAATCCAGAAGTCATAAAAAGGTCCTAGTTCCCTCATGCTGGCTGAGGAATTCTGGGAGTTGAGGTCCACAAGTCATCAAAGGGCCAAGTTTGAAGACCCCTGCTTGTGGACTTCAACTCCCAGAATTCCTCAGCCAGGCACACTGGCTGAGGAATTCTAGGAGTGGACGTCCACAAGTCCTCAAAGGGCCAAGTTTGAAGACCCCTGATAAAGGGGGTTCAAAGATCCAAGGAAGGCCCCTTGGGAGGGATGCAGGGAGGTCTATAAATGTAATATATTAATTAATTTAATTTAATAAATACGGACAGGCCTCGACTTGACAGCCACGATTGAGCCCAAAATCTCGGTTGCTAAGTGGGACATTTGTTAAGGGACGCTTGTCCCACTTTACGACCTGCCTTGCCACAGTTGGTAAGTGAATCACTGCAGGCGTTACGTTAGGCCGTTAAGCGAATCCGGCTTTTCCCCCACTGACTTTGCTTGTCGGAAGGTCGCAAAAGGGGATCACGTGACGGCCCTCGGGAGGCCGCGACCGTCATAAATACGAGTCAGATGCTAAGCGTCTGAAGGTTGATCACATGACCCTGGGATGCCGCAACTATCATAAATACGAGTCAGTTTCCAACTGTCTGAAATTTGGATCAGGTAACCAGCAGTTGTATGTGTGACAAACTGGTCGTAAATCATTTTTTTCAATGCCGTTGCAGCGTCGAACGGTCCCTAAACCAGCCGTTGTGAGTCCGGGGCTCCGTATTATTGAGTTCCGGGAATTCTTTTTCACTTTTTCTCTCCTTCCCGCTAATCCCAAATTTCTCTGCTCCAGTTCTCTCCGCAGCTCAACAAACTGTTTTGCCAAATGAGCAAAACTTGCAAAGTGCTGATTCGGATGTCCGGGGCGCCTCCGCCAGGCTCCGTGGTCCGCGCCATGGCCGTCTACAAGAGATCCGAACACATGTCTGAGGTGGTCAGGCGCTGCCCCCATCATGAGCGGCACCCGGAGCACAACGACGGTGAGCGAACGGCCTGGGGGGAAAGGGGGAAGGGGTCCTCTGAGACATGTAGGGTGGGAGCGGGCAGGCTGTGATGCACGTCACTCAAAACCTGGGGAGAGATTGCACTCTGCGCATGCTCGAAGACCTGCCCGTCTGCATGCAGGGGTGCAGAGTGCCCCCAGACCCAATTAACACCCGAGTTCCCTGTTTCATGATCTTGTTCTCTAGTCCAGGGGTCCCCAACCCCCAGTCTGTGGACTGGTACTGGGCCGCGGCATGCCAGCAACTGGTCCGCACAAACAAGCAAAGCCCCATTCATGGGATGCAGGCAGCACACAAAACCACGCACACTCCGGTCTGCGGGAAAAAACCTCTCTCCACGGACCAAAGTTTGGGGCCCTCTGTGTCTAGTCCTCAGCTTAACGACCACTGTTCAGAGTTAACCACAGTGGTTTGACTTAACGACGGCCGCCATGCACTTAACAATCGGGGGAAAAAGTGGTAAAACGGTGCAAAACTCACTGAATGCAGGCCTCACTTAGCCGCAGAGATTTTGGCCTCCATCGTGGCGGTTCGTCCAGGACTAGCGGTAGATGAGTTGATTTTTTTTCGAGGGAGGGGTCTCGTTATGTAGGGAAGGGGGGAACCTCCCTCCTCCCAACAGGAAACTCCTGTGGCTGAAACCTAACAGGGAATCTAAACTCTCCCATTTTCTCCCCGCCCCACCCCAATTTCTGATTTTTGCACAGGCATGATCCCCCCGGATCATCTCATCCGGGTCGAAGGAAACCCCCTGGCCCATTATCACACAGATCCGGGCACCAAACGGCACAGCGTCTGGGTTCTTTATCAGAAGCCTCAGGTGATTTGGGGGGGGGACGGTGGGCAAGGGTGAAGAGGTGATTTGGGGTCCATGCCAGCCCTCCCCGTCTTCTCTTTCTTCGTCCGATTGTCTGCTACCTTCGTTTTCAGCCTGCCAGGCAGCTGGGACGGGGGGTCCCCATGGATCAAAAGGAAGCATCAACAGAGCAGACCTTCCCCCCAAACGTTTGCCATCCCCTTCCCCCAAATTAGAACAGGTGTGTATGTTCAGATGCTGCACGTGGCTTAGTATATTTTTTCGCCCCTACAGGTGGGGATGGCATGCACCATCGTCCTATACAATTACATGTGTAACAGTTCGTGCATGGGCGGTATGAACCGGCGCCCCATCCTGACCGTCCTGACTTTGGAGACCGAACAGTGAGTGATCCTCTTCTTCTCCTCATCCTCTTCCTGCCCATCTCGGTTGGGTTTCAGATGGGGAAATCGTGTTTAGAACTCAGAACCTGCCCGTCGAACAATGGACGGGATGAAATTTGGGCAACCAGCTATCCTGTTTGTTTTAAACCACGATCCAGGGCCCGATTCTGGGCAGCTTGGGCCCCCGACTCGTAGAATCCTAGCTCCAGAGGGGACAGGGGAGGTCATCTAGTCCAACCCCCCCCCCCCGTCCGGTGTAGGAATTCCCAGGCTAACATTTCAGGTGTTAAGTGGTGACGGTTGTAAAATAGGTCACGCCGTGACTCCACCCAATTTCATGAGTTTTTTTTTTTTTTTGCACGGCGGTTGTTAAAGGGAACACTGCGTTGATTAAGCGAACACCCCCCCCCCAGGAAGTAAATATAAGTTTCCAGAAACAACATTGCAAATTGTACTCCTGTGATTGTGAGATGTTGCAAACAATCATGAACGAAGGCCCCAAATGTTGCAGCTATGAATCCAGGTCGTAAGTCCGCTTTGGACCGTCACCAAGCGACCGTGCGTAACGCGAGGACTTGCTGTGCATTAGAAACTCAGTTGTGTATTCCAGTCAGTAGAAATATCTCTGAAAGGATCATGGGTTGTGTAGTATGGGCTAGAATTTGAACCCGCTGCTTATCGGGAGGCTGTTGTGGAAACGACGATATAACATGGATGAAGCGTTTCTCTCCTGGTAGGGGGGAGGTCCTGGGACGTCGATGTTTTGAGGTGCGGGTGTGCGCCTGCCCAGGACGAGACCGACGATCGGAGGAGCTCAGCTTCCAGCAGAAAGGAAAATCCCTGGAAAATACGAAAAAAGGTAAATTTGAAGGATGGAGGAGGAGGAGGGGGAGGACTGGCAGATAGTGGGGGCGGAGTCAAAGGAGGGATTAGCCCAGAATCCCTATGTAGACACGAACAGTGCAACCTCCTTTGAATTCTGCAGACCCTTATCTAACTCTTAGCAGGCGTCAACCATTAATTGAGAAGATTCCTGTGCATGGGCTTTCAGCAATAAAGCTGTTTAACTGAGAAGATTCCCCCATACAGGCTTTCAGCAATAAAGCAATTTAGTTAGGACATTCCTGCGCACAGGCTTTCAGCAATAAAGCGGTTTAATAGAGAAGATTCCCGCGCATGGGCTTTCAGCAATAAAGCAGTTTGATCGAGAAGATTCCCACGCATGGGCTTTCAGCAATAAAGCGGTTTAATGGAGAAGATTCCCACGCATAGGCTTTCAGCAATAAAGCAGTTTAGTTAGAACATTCCTGCACACAGGCTTTCAGCAATAGAGCAGTTTAGTTAGAACATTCCTGCGCACAGGCTTTCAGCAATAAAGCGGTTTAATGGAGAAGATTCCCGCGCACGGGCTTTCAGCAATAAAGCAATTTAGTTAGAACATTCCTGCACACAGGCTTTCAACAATAGAGCAGTTTAGTTAGAACATTCCTGCACACAGGCTTTCAGCAATAAAGCAGTTTAATGGAGAAGATTCCCACGCATAGGCTTTCAGCAATAAAGCGGTTTAATGGAGAAGATTCCCACGCACGGGCTTTCAGCAATAAAGCCGGCTGGGGAATGATCCAAGGAAATAAGTACACTGGCTCATGGGGAAGAATCTCTTTCTGCAGGCCACTGTTAATCTGAGGAACTCCCCGCCACGGGATGTGGCAAAGGTGTTCAGTTTTGATTTATTAAATTTATAGCTCTCTTCCCCCCCCCTTTAATTATCCGTAAGTTGTTTGATCGCGAAAAACGAGAGGCGTCTCCTTTCCTTGCGCGAAAGAGGGTGGGGCTTCAGCTGTGGGGTTTTTCTCTCCCCCCCCCTTCATCCTTGCCTCTCGCTTCTCCAGCTCCTTTGCAAGGCCCGCATCCGTGCGCCAGCAGTGGCAGGCCAGTGCAAGTCGCGCCAGAGGAAGAGGCGCCTGAATGTGAATCGGGGGGTACATCTGAACCCAAGGTTTACACGCTCGTTGTGAGTAGTGCCTTGGGCCTGCCTTGGCGGTTTGGGGAGAGGGTCGAAGGGGTGACCCCTGGGCCTCCGAGAGGCGGACGTTCCAGCTTTGGGAGGGGCTGAATGAGTCAGGGGCCACAGGAGCAGCTGGAACCCCACGCCGACATCTGGAAGGGTCCATTTTGTTTGCAGATTCGCAACCCCAGACATTATGCGATACTAAAAGAGCTTTTAGAAGGCTTGGAGTGTAAAGAAGCCTGCCAGAAGAACGGGGAGGGCTGCAAGTCCGGGAAAAGGTGGGTGACGGACACCCCCACCCCCCACCCCAAATAAGTAACATTTGTTGCCTCCCGGGTGAATCCCATCTTTGCGGCTTGGCTGGCTGACCCGAGCTGTTCTTTTTCTCTCCCCCAGCGTCCTGAAGAGCCGGAAACGAGCCAAGTTGACTTCGCCCCCTCCAAAGAAATTCCGGGTGAAGGATGAGAGCCAGGACTCCAATTAGGGAGGGGGGTGTGACATAATACCCCCCCCCTCCCAAATTATTTTTATTTTATTTTTTTGGTCTTGTTTATGCTTCCTTTTTCGTTCTCCGAATCCTTTTGATTTCCAAGGTTGCTCTGTTTCCCAATCCAGCATCTTGCAGAGCCCCCGGGTTTTTTGGGGGGGTCCCATCCACCCCCCCCAAACCGGTTACCATTTGTTCCCCAATCTTAACTGGGAACCCCCTCCCCACTCCCAGCCTTCCTCCCCCTTCTCCAGCCCTTATGCCCCCCCCCCAACCTGGCCTTTCTCTAGAGAGGGTATGGGAGAGATTTGGGGGGGGTCCCCATATTGCAGCCCCCCCCAAAAGGGATGGTCAGCTTGCTTCATTTTTCCATCCCCTAAAAATTCGGCTGTTTTTAAATCCCTTTGCGATTTGGGCGTCCAAACACCCCCTCCTCCTCCAGGTTTTATGCCCCCCCCAACTGCTGGGGGGAGTTCCTAAAGGGCCAGCTTTGGGGAGAGGGGTGTCAAGGCTGGTTCCTCACCCCCCCTCCTCAAATTGCCCTCTCTCTCTCTCTCCCTTTCTCCACCAGCCAGGATTGGCTAGTTAGTTTTGCAAGCTTGGCAGGTTTTTGAACGTGGGACTTCCACTCCCAGAATTCCACAGCCGGCCCTTTGAAGAGGGGCAGGCTGGGAGTTGGAAGCTGGGGGAATTCTGGGAGTTGCAGTCCTGATCCTTGCCAAGCTTGCCAAACGAACTAGCGAGGTCCGGCCGTTTTAAACATATATATATTACATTATCCTTGAACACAGTATTAGTATTTTTTTTTTTTTGTAGATGAGTTTTTCTATTTTCTGATGTATTTTTTTTTAATTACCCCCCTTCGCTTTGCACTTCCTTTGCACATTCCTTGGAAGTTTAGTTTTGTTTTTTTTATATTGGATCCTTTCCCTTGTTTTGTCACCCAACATTTTCTAGGGAATAAAGGCATTTGTACTGTTTTTCTTTAAATTTGAAGAGAAGTGGTCATTTGGTCCGTGTGAACGTTGTTACTTCTAAACCGGGGCTGGGGGGGGGGGTAATGGAAAGGAAAAAAATGGAATTATCCAGCAATGTCCGGCTGGACCGGACACATCGGTTCTTTTTGGCAAAATTCCCCAAATTCTGTCTTTTCATCCACACCCCCTGCTCCCCTTCTAGGACCTTTGGGGTGGGGAAAAGTGGGGTGACTGAGCTGGGTGGGTTTCTTGTAGACGTCTCATGACCCGGCTAGGTAAAGTCATCAGTGCTGGAAGAGAGGGGAATTAGCTGTGTTTATATGTGAGAGGTGAGGGAACTGTGACTCTTTGATGACGTGCGGCCTTCAACTCCCAGAATTCCTCAGCCAGCGTGAGGGAACTAGGACCCTCTGATGACGTGTGGACTTCAACTCCCAGAATTCCTCAGCCAACGTGAGGGAACTAGGATCTTTTGATGACATGTGGACTTCAATTCCCAGAATTCCTCAGCCAGCGTGAGGGAACTAGGACCCTTTGATGACTCGTGGACTTCAACTCCCAGAATTCCTCAGCCAGCGTGAGGGAACTGTGGCCCTTTGATGACGTGTGGACTTCAACTCCCAGAATTCCTCAGCCAGCATGAGGGAACTATGACCCTTTGATGACGTGTGGACTTCAACTCCCAGAATTCCTCAGCCAGCGTGAGGGAACTAGGACCCTTTGATGACTTTTGGACTTCAACTCCCAGAATTCCTCAGCCAGCGTGAGGGAACTATGACCCTTTGATGACTCGTGGACTTCAACTCCCAGAATTCCTCAGCCAGCATGAGGGAACTATGACCCTTTGATGACGTGTGGACTTCAACTCCCAGAATTCCTCAGCCAGCGTGAGGGAACTAGGACCCTTTGATGACGTGTGGACTTTAACTCCCAGAATTCCTCAGCCAGCGTGAGGGAACTATGACCCTTTGATGACTCGTGGACTTCAACTCCCAGAATTCCTCAGCCAGCGTGAGGGAACTAGGACCCTTTGATGACTGGTGGACTTCAACTCCCAGAATTCCTCAGCCAGGCACTTCCTGGCTGAGGAGTTCTGGGAGTTGAAGTCCACAAATCATGAAAGAGCCAAGTTTGAAGACCCCTGATTTAATTAAGCCTTTCTCTTCAGGTTATGGTCTTGAAATATATATTGCTGCTTTTGATCAAAGAGCAATTTTTTCCCCCAGCCCAACTCTGGCGGCCCTGTAAAGGAAGATAGGTAAGATGGTCCCTAAATAGCCCCCCCCCCCGACTTAGCAGAGTATTCCAAGCTGAATTATGGGTAAAAAGACTCTTTGGAAACAGGTGATCCTCAATTTACGACTGTAATTGGCACCGGCACCTCTGCCACTAAACAATGCAGCTGTTAAGGGAATTGCACCTGCTGTTTACGACCCTTTTTGCGCGGTCGTTAAGCGAGTCCAGCTTGCCCCACTGAGTTTGCTTGCTGCAACTGGCATAAGGACACGCCTGTTTCCAAACAGCTGACTGCTGATCACGTGACCGCAGGGAAGGTATAATGATTGCAAGCCGGTTTTTTTCCAGTGCCGTCGTAACTTGGAACGGCCATTAAAGAAAACGGTCATAAGGCGAGGACCAGCTGTAAAACGTCTCCCTTTGGCTCGTTCGATCCAGCCAACGCAACCGGTGTTAGAACTTCCATGGACCACCAGATGGCACTGTTGCATCCAGTTTATGATTCCACAGCTGCTTTCTTTGGGATTCAAACTCTCTGGCAGGATTTGAACTCCTGGGCTGAGTCTGAATTGCCTCCCGATGGCCAGGAGGGTTAAAAAATGCCCTGGAGGATTCAGACTGGTCTGCGAGGGGAGAAGAGAACGGGGGAAACGCACAAAGTCCACCCGTCTTAAAGCAGGCTGGCTGGGGAATTCTGGGAAGTGTAGTGCACCCCTCTTAAAGCAGGCTGGCTGGGGGATTCTGGGAAGTGTAGTGCACCCCTCTTAAAGCAGGCTGGCTGGGGGATTCTGGGAGTGGAAGTCCACTCCTCTTAAATCAGGCTGGCTGGGGGATTCTGGGAGTGGAAGTCCGCCCCTCTTAAAGCAGGCCGGCTGGGGGATTCTGGGAAGTGTAGTCCACCCACCTTAAAGCAGGCTGGCTGGGGGATTCTGGAAGTCCACCCACCTTAAAGCAAACTGGCTGGGGAATTCTGGGAGTGGAAGCCCACCCCTCTTAAAGCAAGCTGGCTGGGGGGTTCTGGGAGTGGAAGTTCATTTCTCTTAAAAGAAGCCCTGGGAACTGAACACACACAGACACACACACACACAAACAAACAAACCCTGAATCCATGAAGCAGGATTTCCAGGCCACCATCAGCCAGGTGCAGACAAATCCCCCAAAATGCCAGATGTTTGTCTGAGCCTGCCTGCCATGGGACCCCCCCCCCCAACTCTTAGCCTTCTCCCTTGCTGGGGGGGGGGCTCTACCTGTTTTATTCCTACCTGGCTCCAGAAGAGGGCAGCCTTGCTTGGGAGGAAGATGGAAATCCAGGCCCCTTCCCTTGAAAAGCAAAATAAAAGAGTCCTCTGGAAAGGGGGTGCAGGATGCCAAACCCCCCCCCCTTACGCTCCCCCTCTCCTGGGCCTTCCCTGCCAACAAAACGGGGAGCGGGACCGTCTCCCCCCACCCCACCGCAAAGAGACGGGCTGAGCCACGTCTTGCCATTTTAAGTGTGGCTGCAAAGTTGTGGCTTTTTTTCAGAGGGGGGGGGGACACACAGTTGTGGGTCCAGAGGAAGGGGGGGCAGTGTCTTCCTCTCCCCTCCTCCCCTTCTCTCACATCAGGCACTGCCAACGTTTTCCAGCAAAGGGGCCAAAAGCATCCCGGAAACTTTGAGGGGGAAGCCAGCCCGATTTCCAAGGACTGCCGGCTGGCTGGCATAGGTGGCATTTTTCCAGAGCATGGCAGCGTTTTAGGAGGGGGAGGGGGCATTCAGAAGCCCTGGGGATCCTCCCCACCCACCCCCCCCCCGCCTGTGGCCAGGCCAGAATCTGGAGGATGAAAGCCCGGAGAGCAGAGAAGCTAGAGGAACAGGATTGGAAGGGGGACCCTAGAGGTCTTGTAGTCCAGCCCTCTGTTCACGGAGGGGAGATGATGCTATTTTTGGACAAATGGCTGTCCAAATTTTGCTTGAAAACTTAAAAAGGATGATAGATAGATAGATAGATAGATAGATAGATAGATAGATAGATAGATAGATAGATAGATAGATAGATAGACAGGCAGATAGATAGATAATAGAGATAGATATAGACAGACAGACATATATAGAGAGATAGATAGATAGATAGATAGATAGATAGATAGATAGATAGATAGATAGATAGATAGATAGATAGATAGATAGATAGGCAGGCAGATAGATAGATAATAGAGATAGACATAGACAGACAGACATATATTAGAGATAGAGATAGATAGATAGATAGATAGATAGATAGATAGATAGATAGATAGATAGATAGATAGATAGATAGATAGACAGGCAGATAGATAGATAATAGAGATAGATATAGACAGACAGACATATATAGAGAGATAGATAGATAGATAGATAGATAGATAGATAGATAGATAGATAGATAGATAGATAGATAGATAGATAGATAGATAGGCAGGCAGATAGATAGATAATAGAGATAGACATAGACAGACAGACATATATAGAGATATAGATAGATAGATAGATAGATAGATAGATAGATAGATAGATAGATAGGCAGGCAGATAGATAGATAATAGAGATAGACATAGACAGACAGACATATATTAGAGATAGATAGATAGATAGATAGATAGATAGATAGATAGATAGATAGATAGATAGATAGATAGATAGATAGATAGATAGATAGATAGATAGATAGATAGATAGGCAGGCAGATAGATAGATAATAGAGATAGACCTAGACAGACAGACATATATAGAGATAGAGATAGATAGATAGATAGATAGATAGATAGATAGATAGATAGATAGATAGATAGATAGATAGATAGATAGATAGATAGGCAGGCAGATAGATAGATAATAGAGATAGACATAGACAGACAGACATATATTAGAGATAGAGATAGATAGATAGATAGATAGATAGATAGATAGATAGATAGATAGATAGATAGATAGACAGGCAGATAGATAGATAATAGAGATAGACATAGACAGACAGACATATATTAGAGATAGAGATAGATAGATAGATAGATAGATAGATAGATAGATAGATAGATAGATAGATAGATAGACAGGCAGATAGATAGATAATAGAGATAGACATAGACAGACAGACATATATAGAGATAGAGATAGATAGATAGATAGGCAGGCAGGCAGGCAGATAGATAGATAGATAATAGAGATAGACATAGACAGACATATATTAGAGATAGAGATAGATAGATAGATAGATAGATAGATAGATAGATAGATGATGAAAGAAAGAAAGAAGGAAGGAAGGAAGAATAGAAAGAAAGAAAAGAAAAGGAAAGAAAGAAAAGGGAAAGCAAGGGGGGAAAGAAGAGAGAATGAATAAAAACAAAGAAAAAACAAAAAAGAAAGACAAAGAAAGAGGGACAAAGGGAGGGGGAAGCGAGAGGTAAAAGAGAGTATGAAGACAAAACAAAAAGGAAGGAAGGAATAGGCAAAGCGAGAGAGGAAAAAGAAAAGGAGGAGGAAGAAAAAACAAGAAAAAAACAAAAAGAAAGAAAGAAAAAAGAAAGAACCAGAGGGATGGAAGGGGACCCTAGAGGTCTTCTAGTCCAACCCTGTGCTCCAACAAAAGACCCTGTAACATTCTGGACAACTGGCTGTCCAATCTTTGCTTGAAAACCTATGTATATACCAGTTGAACAATGGGTTGAACCCTATTCTAGAACAGGGGTCTTCCAACTCGGCCCTTGGATGACATGTGGACTTCAATTCCCAGAATTCCTCAGTCAGCGTGCTTGGCTGAG